AAAAACACTCTCCACACCTCTATTATTTCCCTCCTTCCGATAAGTGTCCTCAATAACCTCAAAGCTGGCTCTGAAATTTACAAGAGGAAAAGCTAAAACAGCATTAAGCAGGAGGGTGTCGGGGGCAGAAAGAGCGAGACCTAAGGAGTGAGGTTCACACAATCCGCACACCGAGGGGGGAATCCACGATACGATACAAAAGGTTGTTTTATTTTTTTCTGATTCCTGGACATTAATGATATTGATTCTTTTTAATCTCCGTGCCCCCCCCCTTTGCTTACACTCACTCTTTCCCTCCTTAAACCCTCCCCCTTTCCTCTCTTTTGCTCCCGTTCAGTTCCCCCCCCTCCCCCCATTAGCCAAGAGCCTCCAGAAAAATCAAGGCTGACTCCACCGGGCATGTACTGGGGAGGCAGGAATAAAAGGATAGTTAGTTTATAAAGTTTATTATTAATTTTAAAAGTAAATAACTGGTACTAACACATCACAGAAAATGATTTCACTAACATGGACTACTTAATGCAGCCATAGAACTGTCTCGGGGGGGGGCATGATAGGAAAGTTAAAGGACCCCATCATTGAGGTGGGGGCGAGGTGGGTGGCAGCGCTGGGACCAGGCTGCATGCAGTAGGTTAGGCCTCTCTCTTGCACATCCACGTGTTCTGAAACAAGGCCCCATAAACAAAAGGTGAGAGCCCACACCACTGCTCCAGCAGGTGAGGCGGGGCGGTGACTCACAGTCACCTAGTAAAGGCAGCCCACAGCTGGTTTCTCTTTCCAAACAGAAAACAGGATTACTGTGGGCGGGTTTATAAGGTGACAAGGGCCTGAATGTCAGACTGGAGTTTAAGGCCTCTGACCCATCCTTTGTTCCCAAAGCAACCAAAAGGCTTATTTTTAAAAATGAATTTGCCTTAATTAAAATATTTGTATATTTCTTTTAGCTTTTCGAAGCACTTTTTTGGAGCAGCGATTTTATTTAAGTGAAATTATAAGCTATTGCAGTTTAAACATGTTATTTTGAACCATTTAGCTGGCTGCCATGCAGAAATTCTGTACAGCTGTTCTGGAAAATTGGTTAATAACCAGTTTTATCCAATGAGAACATAGAGCATATTTATAAAAATTAGATTTTGAAGTCTGGCCTCTTCAATTTTATATAGTTAATTTCTTAATAAACATGTACTGCTTGTCCTAGATTACATCCTTGGTGAAAGGCTGACTGTGGGCTTTAGCTTTGCCACTGTATGCAAGCATAATTTCAACGATAGTGCAGGTGAATAATAATCTGAGTCTACAGCTAGTTTAGTGACTTTAACTCTTAATTTTGCTGATATTACCAGTTCATTAAGTCATCTTAAACCAGTGGTTACTGTTAAATAATTTACTCAGTGGTTACAATTTTCAAATATATGTGGCTCAGGAAGCTAATTGTTATATTTACTGTACTAATCATAAAGAATTGGGGGAGGCATATTTTTTTAAGTAGTAAGTCAGAATGACAAAAATAGTCGGGTTTTTATTATGGATTCTGATTTCATTTCTGTGCTCCATGACTACAACTGAGCTTGGAGTTCTCATACAATCCAAATTCCATCAAAATGCTAAGACTCATTGTGCCATGATTGTTATTAATAATTAGCTCCTTGTTGTCTTGATAGAAAAAGGCTATTGACAAGCATTTGTTTATCCACAACAAAAAGTATAATTAGCTTATCCCACTTAGTAAACCTTGTATGCATGCCAACTCATACCAAACTGCTACTTTTACAAAAAAATTGCAATAATACAGTTCATTTTTCCAGTCCTTTTTGCACAAAATTTATTTACAATGTCTACATAAATGCTCCAAGGTGGGACTATGGAAAAATACACACATGACCAATGCTTTGCTGAGAAATAAAGTCAACATATTAAAAATAAATCTTCAGTCTATGTTTTTGAGCTGCACAAAACAGGAAGTGATGTATAAGGTGATGGTTGTTGTCGCATGGGGACAATGATGCTTGATGTGACAATTAGGCTTCTAAACACACGGCCTTTTGGTTTCCATGCCTCCTCCTACCAGTCTCCTTAAGACACTGCCTGCAACAGCTGATTAATCATTGTTGATGACTGCAGTTTTTCCCATCCTTCCCGATTTACATCTGTTCAGGCCAATTCAAATATGGTGAGTAAATGAATTAGACATGCAAATTCAAGCCCCAGGCTAGAGAGAGGGAGAGAGAGGAAAAGAGAGAGAAAGAGAGAGCGCACATGGCTGAAATCCTAGGCAAGAAGAAAGATTCTTCTGCCTGATAGTTATTTTAATGCTCTAAAAACCCTGCAAATCAGACCTTCCTGTCCCTTGCAGGATAACTGTAAGGCTTTTTAATGTAAAGGAGGCTTCTGGAGGAAGTGAAGAGCTATGGAAACAACACACATAGTGTGGAAAAATTTCACATTTTTTTTAAAAAATCTATAAGAAACAACGTAATATGGATAACAGTATAATAGCATTTACAATATTTCACTCTTTGTTCTTTTAATGTCTTATATAGTTATTTTGCATGTCCCCCAAATTGACTTCAGTTGGTTTTCCTGCATTTTAAGAGTCCCTATGAAGAATTAGGGATGCTCCTTGGTCCAAAGTAGATGTCAAGAATGGAACTCCATAGTCATTGCAGAAAAAAACATGATTTGAAATCAGTCACCATTGCAGACAATGCATAGTCCCTTAAGCTACTGAGCATGAATGTCCATGACTTGTCCACTCATTGTCGGGTCTCCTGTATTAAGAACCGAGGGGCTTGATGCTGACATTGGCATTCCAGGGTGGGGCGGTCCTCCATGCATCATCACTGTTGGGTGGTGAGGGTGTCCAGGAATGTACGTATGCATGGGGGGCCCATGACGCAGCTGAGCAGGATGGGGGGGCATCTGGGGCTGGGTATAACTTGGCTGTCCCATACTCACACCCATTGGACCACCCCGGGCTACATACTCCCCTGGCATACTTTGCAGCCCTGTAGAAATTCAAAGAAAAAAACAAAAAGAAAATATTATGGAAAAGCAACAGTGTGGTTCTGACTTTGGCAATTCTATGAAAACCAGGGAACATTGTGATCAAGGGCCTTGGGAAACATTCTTTTGATTCATGTAGAAGAAAACAAAATGAGAGATGTCAAAGCTGGGTATTTGAATTCACCACTATTTCCCTTGCACTGCCATCATTATCAGTCCTCCTACCAAGTCTAATTTAAAAACAAACTAACAACAACAACACAAAATCACCTACTAGTTTCTGATCTAAAGAAACGTTTTTGTCCCCTGAAGTATACTCTATCAAAAGTGTCTACACTGATGAGGTCACTCGGTGTTTCACAGGAAGCAGAACTAGGCAAGCTCACTAATGGTGACCACTTAAAATCCTGTACCTTTGGAAAAAAAATCAAAACAGTTATCAATAAATTTCTTCCACATGGCCTCTTAGAGCTGGAGGAAAAGAAAAGCTTAACAGAATCCTGTCTACCTTACAATGATTTTGAGAACAATAAGAAAAATTGGACCTAAAACAATACTCCTCTTGCTTTGAGGGGGCCTCTTGTCTTCTGCATGGATTGCTCTAGTTGATGGAAACTGACGGGTGTATTGTTTCTGAGAGCCATAAGCTCCATCATCATCAAGGGTGAAAGGCATAACGCCATTGCTAAGTATGTTCAATTGGCTTTAGTTCTAAGTAATAGCGCACTGTGAATACGATGAACACCTTCGAATAAGGTCTCCAGGCTCTGGCAATGAATGGCTGCTTAATCTAGCCTAAAGGAACATTTTTGAACTAATGAAAATTGCTTATAAAATATACTGTACCCACAGCTCTTTAATCAAAAAAGATGATAATATTTTTTGTAATAACCTATTAATTTAATTGGTCACGAAGCATAAAATACATCATTTAAATTTAATTGACCCAGAAACTAAGAAACAATATTTAAATTAACTAAGCTGGAGAATTCCATGATGAGGTAATAAGACTGTTGATTTCCAAGCTCAATGGAATGCTTTCAGAGTGAATTGTTAAACTCATATTGGACTCCCACCCAGAGAAGACGACCAGCGTGCATTACCCTTGGCCTCAGCAAGAATTTTAAATAGTGTGTTAATATAATCAGGGGCACATCCAAGACTCTGAAATCGTGGCTTTTAATTTCAAAAAGGAAAGCTGGAGCAATGCTGTTGGGGTGATTTAGGAGATGAACTAGGGCTTTGGAGTTCAAAACAGTTTTAGTTGTTTGAACTCAAATTTCTGGGGTGTCTTTTTAGGGGAGAAAATGTCAGAATGAGAATCTGGGACAGTTTTCCTAGGCTCACTTCACTAGGCCTGCCACTGAAGATTGCATTAATGATCTCTATTTTTGTATACTGAATAAGTCAAATCCATTTGTCACACTGCAAGTGATGGCATACTTAATTTGGATATAGTCAATTAGCCTGGGCTAAGCCCTGAAGCCTGCTGTGCACACCTCTATTTTGTATTCTCCCTTTTTCCATTGCCACACGTAATCCCATTATGATGGACAGACAAAGGAACAAACTAAGAAAAAAAAATCAAAGTTTAGTTGACTGAAGCTCAAAATATGCCTTTACTTACCCTAAGTAAAGCTGTGTTTATTTTACGTAAAAGAAGTTCTCTGTTTGGCTTTTTGGTGTCTTGCAGGTTAGTGTGGAAATGTAACTCATGCATCAACTGCGGTTAGACAGATTTATGGCACTTTGGGGACATGCTCTTTCCTCTCCTTGCACTGCTGCAGACTGCTTACATTTTGCAAATCAGTCTGTTGCTATGACAACCCACTCCCCCACCTCCTGACTGTTTCTTGTTTTGTCATGTGGTCAGTACTGTACAATGGCAACACACAGGATAAATGTATATCATACACAGAATTTATAAGCTTAAAACCTTGATCAAAACCAACAAGAAAATGAAAGAAGCAAGAAAGAAGAATTTAATGGAAATAATGAACAAGCATGAAGCTATGGGCAAGGAGAACATGAGAAAATGCAAGAGGAAAAAAAAATATTCCTAGGACAAAGTGAAAACAAAGACCCCATTTGTACTTACTTCCCCCTTGCTTTCGATTGGTTAGCTAGATGAAGTTACATGTAGTGCCACTGCCCCTCCATGCCCATATTCATGCCCATTCCACTCATAGGTCCTAGAAGGGAGATAAAAATCCAAGAAGAGGCCAGAAAATGAGCAAAGTCAACAGATAGTGCCAAAAGACCCTTTAACAAAACAGGTTCTAGACGCCAGCCAAGAGGCAGTGAGATCTTGAGCACATATAAAGGTCCTGGCTTCCCCTTTGCAGCGTCTTAGATGCACAGATGGTAAAGCAAGGCCAGGAGAGGAGGCAGGCAGCTTGAGAAAGCAGAGGGTGGGCTGGGTTTACCTGTGCTGACTGGGACTCGGGGAGGAGGACACTTTTGGAATTAAACATGAAAACCACACAAAACCGTGTCTCACCTGGAGCCCTGATGCCCATGTGCTGCTGGCCATCCATTACAAAGCCTCCCATTGGCTGTCCGTCAGGGTTATAAGGTGTTCCTTGGCTGACTACAAAAGTACACAGCACAGCTTCTTAATAACAGGAGGGGGAGGGGAAGGGAGAAGAGGGCAGGGGAAGGGAGGGGAGGAGACCGGAGGAGACACAGAGAACATACCAGCAGATACCATTTTTAAACCAAAGTTAATTATTTCTCTCAGACAAGTTCTATGCACCTCAGTGACTTGAGTTTAAAGTGCTATGTTCAAGGAACAGGGTATATAAAAAAGAAAAAAAATTATACTCGGGATTTTGTCTGGTAGCTCCATAACGGGCTTTGAAAGAAAACAGAGTTACTGGAATGTGACTAACCGGCAACTGACTCAGTACGATACTAGCAGAGCTTTCAATAGAGCTGAGAGATATTTCAGGGCAGAGCGGACAGTCCAAACCTGTATCAACCCCCCTTCTCGGCAAATTTGCTTGCTGCTTTTGCTACCATATTATAACACAAAACAAATCCTAGGGCTCATGACTGAAAAACAGAAAAGCTGTTACTTTTTAAAACTGGTAACACCAGAAGACAGATACTAATGAGCTAGGTCATGAGACTAAGAGCTGTGTATTTATGCCACTAACAGAATCCCAAGTTTTAACTGTACATGAAAAGCTGTTTCAGAAGTAAGCTGCCTTGGGTTATTAGAGCACACAAAAGCTCTACCTCACTGAATGTCTTTGAACTTTACTGAGTCCCACAAGTGATCCTGACCCCCTTGACCTTTTGACAGGTAATAAAGTTTACAGCAATTCCACACCAAGCCATGCACCAGGGAGTGGTCATAGTAGCAGAAAGCTGGGTAGGCAAACTCAGGGGAAACAAAATAACATTAATATATCCAATGTTTACAAAGAAGATTATAACTGAGCACGTGGTTTAAGAGTTACTTTTCTCCATTGGCTTTTTATTTCCTGCTTTCTTCAAACATTTTATAATGATGTTAAATTGATTAGTGTTGTTACAAAAGAAAACTGGTTTAATTTCCACGGCCAGGCACTCCTAGTACTCACTCCCAGTTCATTTACCGGGTAGAAGTTCTCCTGGTGAATGGCTTGAGGATGGCTTTCGCTTGCCTGACCTGAACACAGTCACTAGAGGGGACTTGCCTGCTCGGTTGGACTGGTCTATCATGGGCTGCACTATTCTTCTCCGGGCATTAATAAACCTGTAACCAAGAAAGCAAAGCATATCATTATTGAATAAAACATAAACAAATGGTAGAGGAAGAGATGAGCCATAGTAAGGAGAGTTTTGGCAAGCTGAGCCTGCCTCCTTTCTCTCCCTTCTGGACAGCTTCGAAAGCTACAAAACCTGTGACCCCGTGACCTCTGAGTACCAGGCTTAGGTTTCTGAGTTGATTTATGTTTGCCTGTTTTACCACAGTTGGACACTTCCATTTCATCTTTTCATGGGGGAATTAGCAGAGTTTTCAGGAAACAATGCTTGCCACCACTCTTTTCAGGAGGCAGGGCGGGGGTTGGAGGAGATAGGGAAGCCACGAGGACATCTGCGACCTCCCAATTACTGACATTTCAATCTTACATTCTCTGACTTCTTTTTCACAGTTTGCTTGATCCAAACCTCCCCTACCTTTTGCAAACCTAGTTTCATCTTTATGTCCACTGCTAAGATAACAGACCAAGTTAGCAGTACACCATCAGTTGAAGGAACGTCTGGAGTTTATCACTATTAACTCACACTTCTGGGGACTTTAGAGAAATGCATTCCTTGGAGAGATTTCTTGTCCTGACTTTTTTTTTTCTCTTTATGCAAAATCCGAAGTCAAGACAAGGTCACATCTACACAGCCACTGAATTTTGCTTTCTTCAGCTACTACTGAAAATTATAAACATCTTAAGATATTTAAGTTGCTCTGAGTTTATTTAAGAAATTGGTACAAGTCTTTTCATAGCTCCTCCATATGTCAAGTCACTGAAATAAAAAAAAAAAATGCAGCTAACTCCAAAGCCATCTTCACAAGATTCTAACTCTTAGGACCTATTTGTCCTGGGTTATAAGAATTGCATACCAAATCCAGAAAATAAAGAGTATGTACTAAGTTTTGAAACAGGAAGTTACCTTTAGTTCCCAACTCAATTCTGAGCAGGACATCAAAACTATGATAAAAGTTCAATAATGCCCTATTCGTAACTGAAGGACCCTTGGTCTTAAATAGTTTGTACATCTCTCTATTTGAGCAAGTAAAGCAGTTCTGAAAATCAAAACCATTACATAGTCAAGGATGTATCTTTAAAATAAAGATCCATACTTCATAGCATTTTGGATTCTCAGTACCCTAGATCTGTGTGTTCTTTCTGAGAAGTAACTAAAGTGAATGATGGATCTGATTCTTACTGAAAGGTACACTGTTGATGCTGACTATTAGAGGCCATGTATTGTATTAGTTTTCACATATGAAGTTCCTGAACTCTAATAAAAATATTTAAAATACAGATCTACAACAAATTGTGTTGCAAATCAGGTTATCATTATCTTATATAAGCCATGAAAATTGGAATCATGTGAGCAGAAGGTTAGATTAATTCTCCAGTCTCATTATAAACACAGGTGTAGCACAAACACCATGTGAAATAACCAATTAAAATGAAAAAAAAATCTGCCTTTTCATTAGCTGCCTGCACTGCATGACCAATTAGAAAATTATTTAATATTAATATTCTGCATATACCAAAAGTAATTTTCATAGTAACTAATATAGGTATGACAGCAAAGCATAGCTCTTTATGCTACTGTTCATTATCTCCACTGTAAGAAAAGAAACAGGGGTAAACTTTCTGTTTCAAATATTTTTAATATTATGGGTAGGGAGAGCAAATTTTTGTTGTTGTTTTTTTGTTTTTTGTCTTGTTTTGTTTTTGTGAGACATGTAACTCTGGCTGTCCTAGAACTAGCTCTGTAGACCAGGCTGGCCTCAAATTCACAGAGGTCTTCCTGCCTCTGCCTCCCGAGTGCTGGGATTAAAGGCATGCGCCACCATGCAAGGCTAGGAAAGCAAATTTTAACAGATGAGGAAAATTTTTAACAAGGCTCAGAGAGACTGAATGACTTATTTCACGTCATGTGCTACCAAAGAGATGTTAAGAGTTTACTGATGACACAAAGCACTGTAATCAACAAATTCTATTTTTTAAGTAATTTTTTTATTTAAATTAGAAACAAGCTTGTTTTACTGCTACAACTACCACACACCCATTGATGCATCACCCTCTAGAATATTGCATACTAAGCAGACATCTGAAAAGCAGCTGCTTCTGAGCCAGTTACCACTAAGAGCAACACTTATGCTAAGACAAGGAATAAGCATGATAATGAATATCTCTATGGCTCTATGAGTCCCTATGGCTGCCTAGCTTGAGTATACAGATAAAGATGAGGCTACTCAAAAAAGATTCTGAGACTCGGGTTTTCCATACTCCAACCTTGGCCTCCTCTACACTCAAACATGCAGACTCCCAAAGAACAGTGCATGGTACCCAGCTCAGGTTACCAATCCATGATCATTCATCCCACAGCACCAGAGAAAAACTGTAAAGCAAGTTTAGGAAGTGCTTTGTCACCTAGCTTGGCCATTGGCATGGATCTCCTCTATAAAATCCTACCAAATCAATGCCTAGCTCTTCTGGACTGAAGCCAACACAGCACAAACCATTTTCCCTGAAAGCGTGAACAGAGTGAGCTGCCGGAAGGTCTTGTTCTCCAACTAAAATCCTGCCATGGCACAGCGCTCTGGGGCAATTGAAATCATTTCAGTCAACACTTGAACATAACTATCATGTCCTCTAGGCTTCTTTCTCTTTTCCTTGGGTTAAACATCTATGGTTTTTTTTTTTTTTTTTGAAAGACCATATTCTTAAAAGTTGTTTTTGTTTTTTCCCCCCTAGAGGTAAGTACCTCTCATATTTTAAGCCTCCTATACCTCAGGCCACTCTATTCAATTTCCTGAAATTATTTGTGTCTCTATGGAGGTCTGCAGAGGCACACTGGTCACATTTATTCCAGGCCTGTTCTGGTCCCCATGTGAAGGAGAAATTCATTACCACATCCTCTTAGCTCACCACACACAGGCAGTAGGTACTATTTACCTCTTTTTTGTGGAGGAGATACCTGGTTTTTTTTTTTTTTTTTTTTTGGTATGCAGATGTAAGAGATTCATAGTTATGTAGACACCAGGATGAGTGTCCTGTCATTAAAAACAAATGGAAATACTTGAAATCAAAGAAAACTCAACCACTTTGAATTGTTCAAAGAGGTTACAAGGTCTACATAGAACTTTCTTTCTTATTCTGAGACAAGGTTGCATGGAGCTCATGCTGACCTCAAACTTGTTTATAACTCAGGAGGATGACCCTGAACTCCTGAATGCTGAGATCACAGGCTTCTTAAATATGCCTGGTTTATGATGTACTGATGGATTACATCCAGGGCCTGGTGTGTGCTAGGCGTGCACTCTACCAACTGACCTACACCTTCAGCCCAACTTGATCTTTCTGAAAGCCATCATTTAAAAGCATTTCAATATAACAAAATATTATCAATATATTTAGTACACAGTAAATTCTTGTAACATTACTATAGTCTCTGTACTGCTATGAACAACTTGTGTCATGGTTTGAGGTCCTGGTGAACATCTTTACCTGGAAGTAACAAGTTAAACAGCAAAGTATTTCATTTTCTAAAGGAACACTTCATTTATATGTGGCATCATTTCACAACTTGATTCTCCTTGGTGTATTTTATCGCCATCAGAGACAACCACAGGTCTTTCCCCAAAAACTTCTCTCTTTGGAATTAGCTGCACGTAGCAGAGCTGTATTTAGAAGGCTTGGGGCGCGAATCCAGATACAAAAACATTTTCCTTCTGGGCAAAGCAATAAAATGGCATTCTCGCTCCTCCCACCATAAGTCAAACTGAGGTCAGCTCCCTTGTCCCACTATCTGTTTAAATAAACTGGCCTGGCTGTTTGTTTCTCAAGCGCCCTTTGACCCGTGTCTCATCCTCCCTGCTTTGGTGACAGAATGCTTTACTTTTCATTGTGAAAGAAGGAAAATTATCAAGAAACTTCCAAACCTGAAAACCAACAAATGCCTTTAGATTGAATGTGAACATAAATGGACTTACTTTTCTTCTTAAAACACTGTTATTTTAGGAGAAATCAGTAAAATAATTAATATATATATAATATGTATATTATATATACATATTGAAATTACATCATGTAGTTAAAGAAAATAGTGTTTCTGAAGAGAAGGAAGAGAAGGATAAAACCCAAATTAGAATGTATAATAAAAAGACATTTTCTAATTGCTACAGGACAAGTTTTTGTTTAACAAATTCTATTCAAATATAACTGAGATGTAGATGTCAGGAATGTGACAGTGTGAGCTTGACTCATTCGCTGAGATGGGCAGTTGTACACCTTTTCTTAAAAGAATATAAGAATATAATCAAATATGCTACGATTTAGTTTTTAAAATAAACCTTCGAGGTAAGCAAGCTTTAAAAGCTAGAGATGTTTTATTTGCCCTTGTATATTACTGTACACACACACACACACACACACACACACACACACACACACCTTAATTATAAAGTGCTTTCAAGAACTAGACTCCCTTTCTGTAGGGGGTAAACAACCAAATTAAGGAAAGAAGCCCACATCTCCCTATGTATGCACCATAGAATAGAACTTCTGCTTGAGACCCAGTTCTCTTCTTTATCAGGCCAAGCTTTGCAAAGGAAAGTAAGATAGCAAGTTGACCTTCTAGTTTTCCTCCATGTCCAAATAAACAGAGATGTGTTTCTTTCTGACCTGGCCATTTGTTTAGGACCCAGAATCCTTATGGGGAGGAGTAAGAGCTAAAACAGGAAAGAAAATCTCGCAGCATCCAAGGTTTGAGATCATCCATAAATTGAATTTTATGTCTTCCATTTTATAACAACCAGACAAAGGTTGCAAGCTGCATCTGAATTTTTTTTCAACAGGGAAGTTCTGATTTCCTCTCTTCATTTCACTCCCCAGTTGTGTGTGTGTATGTGTGTGTGTGTGTGTGTGTGTGTGTGTGTGTGTGTGTGACTTGTATGTGTGGTGAGTGTGTAAGTGTGGTATGTATGTATTTGTGTATGTGTGGTGTGTGTGGTTTGTG